ACCACCATCATCATCATCATTACCACCACCATCATGACCACCACTATCATCATTACCACTATCTTTCATCACCACCACCATCATCATCACCACCATCACCATCATCATCACCACCATCATCATCATCTTCATCATTACCACCATCATCATCATCATTACCACCACCATCATGACCACCACTATCATCATTACCACTATCTTTCATCACCACCACCATCATCATCACCACCATCACCATCATCATCACCACCATCATCATCATCTTCATCATTACCACCATCATCATCATCATTACCACCACCATCATGACCACCACTATCATCATTACCACTATCTTTCATCACCACCACCATCATCATCACCACCATCACCATCATCATCACCACCATCATCATCATCTTCATCATTACCACCATCATCATCATCATTACCACCACCATCATGACCACCACTATATCATTACCACTATCTTTCATCACCACCACCATCATCATCACCACCATCACCATCATCATCACCACCATCATCATCATCTTCATCATTACCACCATCATCATCATCATTACCACCACCATCATGACCACCACTATCATCATTACCACTATCTTTCATCACCATCACCACCACCACCATCATCACTACCACCTTCACCGTCTTTCATCACCATCATCACCACCATCATCATCTTTACCACCATCACCATTACTACCACCATCACCATCTATCATCACCACCATCATCACTATAACACCATCACCACCTCCATCATCATCAATACCACCATCCACCATCATACTCTAAACTCAACTGTAGCTAGATCACAGCAGAACTCACCAAACGTGATGGGATACATGTCACCATATCCCACTGTTGTCATGGTAACCACAGACCACCAGAATGCGTGTGGAATACTTCGGAATATTTCACCATTGTCATCCATTTCAGCGAAATATATCGCACTTGAGAACAGCACAACACCTAAAGTTGCAAATTGAATAATGTTATATGGCACTGATCATAAAGGTCTATCTATGTATGTATTTTTCTGTTCCGTCGTAAATTGCAATTGAAGCAGTGACAAAGCTAGCTGCATGCCAACTGGTCATGTTATGCTAATAAACTTACATCTAAGTATGTTAAAGCAATACATTTCTAACGTTTGAATAATGCAAATCATTAAAAATTTGCATGACCTGTTGGTATGGCTAGCTTAACTTTGCCACTGAATTGAAGTGAGCCCAATGACAATTTCATGAGTCATTACTCAGTAATCAATAACCAGTACTTAATTGTTTCTATATACATGATCTTACAAGGCGAAACTTCTTGTTAATTGGGGATGGGGAATAATTATTTTTCAACTGGGAATACAACTATTCAACTGCCCCCAAGTCTGGTCCTGTATGGTATAATAACAAAATATAATAACAATCATTGTTAAGGGTGTGGCTGCAATATTAATATTGGGGAACATTCTTATATTTTCCCCACCATCCTAATTTGTTTTTTGCCCAATGGGGTAAAGGCGAAACCTTATTTACGCAAACCAAAGTTCCTGGAAAAAGCCTGTGTTGTTTGTTAGATTCAAACTGGAATTACTCTTCTTCGACTTCGACACTCCCTTATACGGGATAATAGAACTTTTCTAATTGCCCCGACGTATTGTCAAATTATAAAGTTTCTTTGATTCTCGTATTTACTCCCCTCCCAAATTGGTCCCATATCTTTCCTGTTTATACAAAAATACCAGCATATATATATACACGCCAAAACTTACCTACACCCAGGAAAAATGCCAACAGGCCCAATTCGGTCATACTCGCTTTCATGGTCAGACCCAAAATCCTCAATCCTTTGGAATAACGCGACAACTTGAAAATCCGAAACACGCGCACGAGTCGTAGGGCACGTAAGATTGCCAGCGACGACACGTTCGAGTTCGCTTGCAGCGCGAAACTGACGAAGAACGGTAGAATTGCGATTAAATCGATTATATTTAATGCGCCGATTAGGAATTTCGTTTTGACGGGCGAGGAAAGAAGGCGGACTATGTATTCAAACGTGAACCAGGCTATACAGACAGCTTCTTTGATAAAGAAAGGGTTGGCGGTATTGGTTTCGCTTTCATCGTCAGACTCTTTGGTAAATTCAGGCAGAGTTTCAACACAAAACAAAACTATGGACAGTAAAACGACAGTGCAACTTAGCCAGGCGAGCGCTCTTGCATAGTTGGACGTATCTGGATGCTCAAACAACTCCCAAACTCTTCTCTGAAAATTATTCTTGGGTAAAACTCTTCCAACTTTTTCCACTGGCTTTCGTAACCCGTAAAACTCGAGCTCTTGAAAGAATAACTTCTCTGGCACGTATTCAGGCCGATGAAGGATACCCTCGCTCTGGTAGTATGTTAAAACAGCTTTAAAACACGCCCTGTTTCTGTCAAGGTAATATTCGCCATGGGATTCGTCCCAGAATTGAGCGCGCCATTCTTCATCGGCCAATGAAGTGTCAGGGAATCTTTGTAAAGTAGTTTCAAGAATTTCGTATTTCGCACCGCAAATGTTGAATCGAAGACGCCGGTTGTTCAACCGAGAGCTAGGGTGGTTATTTAGTTCGTACTCGTCGATGTGGTTATTTTTGGACATTCCTGCCTATTTATTGGCTTCGTTAATTACTACTTTCGACAAGTTTATTGCCTTGGCTTTGGTTTGACTGGTTTGACTGTTTATAATAGGCTTCGTTCGTCTCAGTATTGGTCGTTGTTTGTTTGATTATTTTAACTTAATTGACGGGTTAAGTGGACACTGTTTTGTCTTTGAGTGGTTAATTTTGGTTTCGTCTGCACTATTTATGGTCGTTGAATGCTTTTAATTTTGGTTAAATATTTACTCGTCGTTTGGTTTTCTTTGCTTTTGTAATTGAATACCAAGACCAATTATTTTGCAATTGCCTGTCACTTGCGACCCGACTTTCCAGTAGTATTTTCTTCTAGCTATGATAGATTCTATGTAGAAATGTTATACGTATATCACCAATTTCGTACGAATGAACACTCTTTGGGAATTTCTGGCATGTAAAATTCAAATAATTCTGTCTGGATCCTCTTATGATGAGGCTGCTTCTAGAAAATATTATACATAAATTTCTGACTTATTAAACTTATTGAAGAAGCAAATTTTCCACTTAACAACTGGTACCAACCAAAGCTATACGATACTGTCTTCTATAGGTATATTTTTCAATCGTCTTCTTTAATATACGAGGTTATAATCTTGTTTTGACCCTCTTATATCGTATGGTTGCTTCTAGAAAATATTATACAATTCTGTCCTGCGCGAACTTATTGACGAAGTAAGTTTCTGTCTCACCAACTAGGACCAACTAGCACTATATAGCAACCAAAGCTACGACACTGTCTTCTTGGTATATTTTTCAAATATCTTCTTCACGAGATGATAATCTTGTGTTGACTCTCTTTATATATCATATGGTTGCTTCTAGAAAATATTGTACAATTCTGTCCTGAACGAGCTTATTGACGATGTCAGTTCCTGTCTCACCAACTAGCAGTATACCAACTGCGACACTGTCTTCTAGGTATATTTTTCAAATATCGTCTTTACAAGGCGACTCGGTGAATGTTGCTACCCTATTTCGTGATATGTCTATCTCAATATATACACTTCACGCAAATGCACATCCGGTATTTGGCTAAAAAGAAACTTTGTTTTAAAAACACATGATTATATCTTTCTAGTAGAAAAGCAGGAAGTGCGGGGTATATTGGCTTTAGAGTTTAGGGTAATATAAAATTAATTGAGTCACGAAAATCTACAATATCCCAAAATTTATAAATATGTATGTATGTAAAATCTTTATTATAAAAATACCAGTTACATCAGACGTGCAACTTTACCAAAATTGTTGGTATACATCCTACATACTATATACTAATATATGCTAGGTAAAAGTTCTAATAGGTTCTATATATAATGTTCTATATAAACTGAAATAGACATCTATTAATAAAATATCTCTTATATCTCTTTGTTCGAATTTTAGGTAATATAAAGTTATGACCTCGCTTCCTGAGAGCTCTTGTCTTCTTAAGGGGCAACAGTTCATATAAACTATGGGCAGCGTCTTCCGAAATTACTTTTCACAATTTCATGTCTCTCTCTCTCTAATTATATCGGCCAACACGTAATTCTTAGATGTATAACCATAACGATAGGCACGTTTAAGGAATTTCTCAACACGATCCAGATATTTTCCTTTGAAAGCAGCACCCCAAACTTCAATTCCATATAGAATTAGAGAGAAAACATGCAAGAGAATCAAACAGTGTGCTTATTTGATCTTTAGGGTAACCATAGTATTTACAAATCCGTAATATGTACAATCGACTACCAGCTTTGGCCAACAAGTTTTTTTGTTTTTTTTAATTTTTTTTAATTTTTTTTTTTTTATTAACTTTACAATCAAATGACCGAAGGTAAGGACAACAGGACGTGAGTCCCTAATTAAGCCCTACCAAAAACGTACATTACATAATTACTTATAGGTATTACAAGAATACATATTATATACATAAACATTAGGACATACAACAATTATAATTACATCTATGAACAACAGATTGTATGTAAAGAACGACATTTACTGCATACAGTTTTCCATGTTCTAGGACGGTCTACATCAAAAGTACTATTCAGCTTTCTAGTGTAATATATATATAGTTTAGATTTAAGTATGGCGACTGACGAAGATGATTTGATATCAGACGGTAAATTGTTCCATAAAAATACAATTCTGTTAAAGTATGAGTTTCGGAAGAGGGAGGTTTTGCACAAGTTATCCAAGTACAGATCCCAGTTGCAAGGATTTTCTTGAAAAATCAGTCCAAGAAGTTTTAAATAAGGCACACGTTCAATTGCTGGTAATATGGGTGGGAAATATGGGAAGGAATAAACACCTTGAAATATGGGAAGGAATAAACGTAAATAAAGTAAATATGGGAAGGAATAAACACCTTGAAATTTGAGAGTTTAGTATCTAGTCGCTTATAAGCTGGCTCAAACACCATATGCATGTTGGCATTTAATAATAATAATAATTATACGAATATTTATGCACTAATACAGGATACGATGCGAAAATTATAGGCATATTCTACACCTGACAAAGAAAATACACAAATATGCCGATTAGGAATTTCGTTTTGATGGGTGAGGAAAAAAGGCGGACTATGTATTCAAACGTGAACCAGGCTATGCATACAGCTTCTGTGACATAGAAAGGGCTGTCGGTATTGCCTATTGGGTTCCTCTTCAGACTCTTTGGTAAACTCAGGCAGAGTCAGTTCAACACAAAACAAAACCATGGACAGCAAAACGACAGTGCAACTTAGCCAGGCGAGGGCTCTTGCATGCGTAGTTGGATTTATCTGGATGCTCAAACAGCTTCCAAACTCTTTTCTGAAAATTAGTCTCGGCCTCGAGTAAAACCCCTTTAACCTTTTCCTTATCCGTTCAACCTTACGAGGTCTGTCAAAAGCTTTTGGCTCTTCAACCTTATAAGGCAACAGGACCTGATAATGTACCAAGTCGATTTCTAAAAGATTTTGCTTGCGTGCTAGCCGATTCAGTTAACACCATACTTAATGCATCCCTTTCCTCTAGCGTCGCCTGGCTCTCTCATTTGGACTCGTGCTCCAACGGTAAGCACATTCGTATTAGCTTTTAAATTTCTCCAAGGCCTTCGACCGCATTGGATACAATATTCTCGTTGAAAAACTGTTAGACCTGGGGCCGGTTGTTCGAAGCCCGTTTAGCTTAAACGGTGGATAAGTCAAAATTAACTAACAGATTCACACATTTTATGAATGATCGAACTTAAATCTCATGCACTAAATATATAGTTGCAAACATAATTGTTCTACTCAAGTTGAAATATTTTAGTTTGATTACTTGATGAATGTACAAACTTGATCAAGATTTTCGACTTATCCACCGTTTAAGCTAAACGGGCTTTGAACAACCGGCCCCAGGGCGTTAGGCGGTCTTTAATACCCTGGATTATAAACTTTCTTTGCGATCGAAGACAACGAGTTATGATTGGAGAATCTTTTTCAAGCTGGCGGCTCCCTGTGACAGCTTGACTAAACTTGGCCCAATATTGTTCCTCATTATGATTAATGATTTTCGAGTAAACTCCCCAGACACGAAAATGTGGAAATTTGTAGAGGATTTCTCTTCTGAAAATCTTACCTCGAACAGTTTCTCTGTCACTCAGTCAACTCTTGATTCTATCGAGTCATTGGCATCTAACAGTTCACAGTTGTATGAAATTGAATGCGAAAGAGTGCAAAGAGTCCGGGTTTGTTTTCTTAAAGAACCCCCGCAGCTACCACCTTTGACAATTGATGGTCACATGCTAGAAACGGCGGAATAATCGCACAAAGTGTTGGGTTTAGTTATTTAAAAAAATCTAGAATGGGACAAGCAAACTCGATCAATCGTCAGCAAAGCTTCCCACGGTCTTCGGGTACTATGCCGTGGCGGTGTCCCTCCTGCTTATCTTACCAACATATATTTCGCGCTTATTCGTTCTATTTTGGAATACTGTTGTCAGGTGTGGAATTACGCGACACCCCGCTATCTGTCTGACGAACTGGAAAGAGTGCAAAAGCGTGCCATGCGCATTATCTTTTCCGGCCACTCATACGACGAAGCCCTCCAATTAGCTAATTGCACAAGACTTAGCGACAGGCGAAACGAAACTTGTATAAATACCTTACAGAAGATTACGTTCATGATAATAATAATAATAAATAATAATTTGGAGTGGCCCTTTCATAGTTGTTTAATATTTTTAAAATTAAATCTTTTTGATAGTTTCTGTGATTACAGTAGGATCAAATCTAAGTTTTGAAGGATTTGTAAGAAATGTTTAAGGGAACTGACGCATTGTTTAATACTGACTCAGTTTCCTCAAGCACTTCTTATAAATCCTTCAAAACTTCCGCACTCTCCTTAATTATGGAGAAAATTTGAATGACCAGTTGGCATGGCTAGCTTTACCACTGCCAGTTACGATATATTCTACCTAGACTGATTGTTGTGCATGATTCTGTTGTCTCTTACTCTTAAGATTTTTAAAGAACTTTCTAACTCGATCATATTTTGAAGAACTTGTAATGATATTTAACTGCTCATCACTGAGTTCATCATGTTCGCTGCTGTAAAAATGTTCAAAATTTGCGACAATCACGGGCACAGGAAGAGCTATTGCCAGGATCCCAGTGAATGCACACAAACTGCCGATTATTTTTCCACCTATAGAACAAACACAAGATCATTGTTATTGTTGAAAAAGAACTACTTTTCAATGCACCTTACATTATTGCCACTGACAGATTAATCAACTAATATGCCAGATTAGTTTCCTCTATAATGCCACACCGTCATCACCAGAAATTTTCCACTGCGACCGTACCACCATCATGATCATCATCACCACCATTATCATCACCACCATTATCATCACCACCATCATCATCACCACTATCATCATCACCATCATCACCATCATCATTATCATCATCATCATCGTCACCATCACCATCATCATCATCACCATCATCATCATCATCATCACCATCATCATCATCACCATCATTTTCATTACCATCATTATCATCACCATCATGACCACCACCATCAGCCAAACCACCATCTTTCATCACCATCAAAACCACCATCTTTCATCAGTCGTCACCATAGTCACATCACCACCACCATCATAATCACCACCATAATCTTTCATCATTATCATCACCATCATACTCTAAACTCAACTGTAGCTAGATCACAGCAGAACTCACCAAACGTGATGGGATACATGTCACCATATCCCACTGTTGTCATGGTAACCACAGACCACCAGAATGCGTGTGGAATACTTCGGAATATTTCACCATTGTCATCCATTTCAGCGTAATATATTGCACTTGAGAACAGCACAACACCTAAAATTGAAAATTGAATGTTATGTGGCACTGATCATAATGGTTTACTGTATCTATGTACGTGTTTTTCTATTCTGTCGTAAATTGCAATTGAAGCAGTGGCAAAGCTAGCGATGGCAACTGGTCATGCTATGCTAATAAACATGCGTCTAAATAGGTTAAAGCAATACATTTCTAAAGGTTTAAATAATACAAATCATAAAAATTTGCATGACCTGTTGGTATGGCTAGCTTTGCCATTGAATTGAAGTGAACCCAATTTTGCGAGTCGTTAGTCAGTAATCAGTAACCAGTACTTGTTTCTATATACATGATCTTACAAGGCGAAACTTCGCGTTAATTGGGGATGGGGAATAACTCTTTTTCAATGGGAATACAATTATTCAACTGCCCCTCGAGTTAATGGCCCTACATGGTACAATAACAAATATTATTATTAGCATGACAAAATTACTGGATGCTGATTGGTTGAGAGGAGTACAATTATTTCATTAATTGTACTGCAGTACAATTAATGATTTTCCCAAAACAAACAAAATGGCGGAAAGGTATTTTGAACACAAGCGTGAAATGAAATTGCCCTAGAGGAACTAGATGAAAATACGAACAAAAGCAAATGAAAATATGGACAAAAGCACCAAAGTTTGGTTGAAAATCTGGCTTTGTCGAGAGAATATATGATGTTACTAACATTGTGAAGTATCCAATTTTGTCATGCTAATAATAAACAAGTAATCATGCGATGTTGCTCGTACAATTAGGGATTAATAGTACTCGTGATGTTTGGAAATTTGCCAAATTGGACTCGCCCCGGCGGCTCGTCCAATTTTGACAAAATTTCCAAACATCACTCGTACTATTAATCCCTAAGTGTACTCGTCATCGCATATTTACCTATACTAATAACAAACATTGTCAAGGGCGTGGCTGCAATATTAATATTGGGGAACATTCTTATATTTTTCCCACTATCCTAATTCGTTCCTTACCCAGTAAAGGCAAAACCTTATTTACCCAAAGCAAAGTTCCTGGAAAAAGTCTGTGTTTGTTTGTTAGATTCAAACTGGAATTACTCTTCTGATATTCGACACTCCCTTATCAATAGAACTTGTCTGATTACCGCACGTATCGTCAATCTCAAAATATAAAGTTTCTTTGATTCTCGTATTTACTTCCCTCCCAAATTGTTCCAATATCTTTCCTGTATATTATACAAATTACAAAACACATATACCCGCCACGAACTCTAAAACTTACCTACACCCAGGAAAAATGCCAACAGGCCCAATTCGGCCATACTCGCTTTCATGGTCAGACCCAAAATTCTCAATCCTTTGGAATAACGCGACAACTTGAAAATCCGAAACACGCGCACGAGCCGTAGGGCACGTAAGATTGCCAGCGACGACACGTTCGAGTTCGCTTGCAGCGCGAAACTGACGAAGAACGGTAGAATCGCGATTAAATCGATTATATTTAATGCACCGATTAGGAATTTCGTTTTGATGGGCGAGGAAAGAAGGCGGACTATGTATTCAAACGTGAACCAGGCTATGCAAACAGCTTCTATGATATAGAAAGGGTTGTCGGTATCGGTTTCGCTTTCATCTTCAGACTCGTTGGTAAATTCAGGCAGAGTTTCAACACAAAACAAAACTATGGATAGCAAAACGACAGTGCAGCTTAGCCAGGCGAGCGCTCTTGCATAGTTGGACGTATCTGGATGTTCGAACAGCTCCCAAACTCTTCTCTGAAAATTATTCTTGGGTAAAACCCTTCCAACTTTCTCCTTTGGCTTTCGTAACCCGTAAAACTCAAGCTCTTGAAAGAATAACTTCTCAGGCACATATTCAGGCCGATGAAGCATACCCTTGGCCTTGCTATCCTTGCTGGCATTGCTGGCCTTGTTGAGCTTGTTCTGGTGAGTCTGGCAAGTCTGGTAGTATGTTAAAACAGCTTCAAAACACGCCCTGTTTCTGTCAAGGTAATATTCGCCATGGGATTCGTCCCAGAATTGAGCGCGCCATTCCTCATCGGCCAATGAAGTGTCAGGGAAACTTTGTAACGTGGTTTCAAGAATTTCGTATTTTGCGCCGCAAATGTTGAATCGAAGACGCCGGTTGTTCAGCCGAGAGCTAGGCCGGTTATTCAGTTTGTACTCGTTGATGTGGTTACTTTCAGACATTCCTGGCTATTTATTGCTTTGTTAATCCCTACTTTCGTTAATTGCCTTGGCTTTGATTTGACTGTTCTTAATTTAATTCGTTACCGTCTTTTATTTAACTTACTTGATTTTCAATGTGGTTAAATGTTTTGGAAATCTAGGCTTTCGTTCGTCTCAGTATTTGGTCGTTGTTTGTTTGAATCTTTTAACTTAATTGACGAGTTAAATGCTATCCAGTGGACACTGTTTTGTTTTTGAGTGGTAATTTTGGTTTCGTCTGCACTATTTATTTACAGAGTTTTGTTTTTTTATGGTCGTTGAATGCTTTTAATTCGGTTAAATATTTCCTCTTCGTTTGGTTTTCTTTGCTTTTGTAATTGAACACCAAGAGGCAAGACCAATTACTGTGCCTGTCACCTGCGATCCGATTTCTAGTAGTACTTTCGTACGAATGAACACTCTTTTGGAATTTCTTGCATGTAAAATTCAACTAATCCTGTTTGGATCCTCTGACGAGGCTGCTTCTAGAAAATATTACACATTTCTGACCTCTGCAGCGAACTTATTGAAGAAGCAAGTTTTCCTCTTAACAACTAGTACCAACCAAAGCTATATACGACACTGTCTTCTATAGGTATATTGTTCAAATGTCTAGCTTCTTTATACGAGGTGATAATCTCGTTTTGACCCTCTTATATTATATGGTTGCTTCTAGAAAATATTTTGCAATCCTGTCCTGAGCGAACTTATTGACGAAGTAAGTTCCTGTCTCACCAACTGCACTATACTAACCAAAGCTGTGATGCTGTCTTCTAGGTATATTTTTCAAATGTCTTCTTTACAAGGCGACTCGTCAATGAATGATGCTACCCCCTCTCGTGATAGGTCTATCTCAATATATACACTTGACGCAAATGCACATCCGGTATTTGGCTAAAAAGAAACTTTGTTTTAAAAACACGTGAATATACCCTCTAGCCTAATAGTACAAAAGCAGGAAGTGCGGGGTATATTGGCTTTTATAGGGTAGTGATATAAAATTAATTGAGTCACGCAAATCTGCAATATCCCAAAAAATATGGGAAGGAATAAACACCTCGAAATTTGAGAGTTATAAGCTGGCTTAAACACCATTTTGACATTTAATAATAATAATAATAATTATTATACGAATATTTATGCGCTAATACAGGATACGAAGCGAAAATTATAGCCATATTCTACACCTGACAAAGAAAATACACAAAACACCACACGCTCTATACACATGCACGCACCTATATACTATACAATATTAAGTCTACATTTCAGACCTTGTGAAGATCTTATAGAAACCAATAACTAAATAAGACTTCCAAGAAAGTTGCACAACGCAAAATCCCAAACGCCTGTAGAGGTCCAATTACCACAACATATCAAGAGAGAATTGCCAAAAATCTTAGCTTGAATTTTTTTAATTTTACAAGCTTTGTCACAACAAGAATACGTGACAAATGACAATAATTGCATACATGTTTCGCTCGCTACTCTGGTTTAAATAAATGATTACAAAGCCCAGTCGAATTGTAATCAAGACCCAACGTTTCGACACTCCAGTCTAGTGTCTTCACATTCAAGGTGTCACAGAACCAATCAAGAGAATCTTAAGTAATTGTAATATTAAGGTTGCCTTAAAACCCTATTTGACTTTAGGCCATATTTTCGCAAAGCCAAAAGATCCTGTTGAAAAAAATCAGAAGACTCATGCTATATATTCTATACCATGCGGTGACTGCGACAAAGAGTATTTGGGTCAGTCAGTTTGGTACACGGCTAAAAGAACATCAAAAGGCTGTTTCAACTTTAGACAAGGGAAAATCAGCCTTAGCCGAACATGTATGTCACACCAAACACGAGATTGCGTGGGAAAACTCTAAAGTAATTACCACAAACAATCGCTATGGTCAAAGACTTTGCCTAGAAGCGTGGCATATAAATATGAGTCATCATGCTTTGAATAGGGATGACGGCGCCTATTTGCCAGAGGAATATATGCATCTTCTTGGCAGGTGACGTCATCCCTTGGGTATTTAAGAAGCCACGGTCGCAGTTTTATGGGCTTTGTAATAATTTATTTAAACCAGAGTAGCGAGCGAAACATGATTGATATACCTGGTCGCAGTGAACGAACAAA